TTCAGCCGCCAGATGCAGAAGATACTTCCAGACGCTCGAATTATGTAGGTCACCGCCTTTTGTCAAATCCAGCTCCAGTACCTCCACATCCCGACTGGGAAAATGCCATTTTTGTTTTCCTGAAAATAGGTGTACCACCACCCTTTTTGCTCGTGCCAGCCGTCTCCTTTTATGACGGTTGAAAGGCAACGCCGCAATATCTCCACGTGGCAACAGCTCCATCAGCATATTTTCTGGTATATCCCCATAATACCACCGAAGAAATCTCCAGCATGCCTGGACGAACTCCTCCTCATTCGCTGACGCTGTCCGCGCTGCGCTTTGCAACGACGTTTTTACAGCCACCTCGTTGTCCGTATTCGGACACCCTTGAACCATACGTGCCACCTTCAAAGCTTGCTTTGGTGAGCACCAATCCATTTCATCAATGATCTGAAGCGCCACCTCCTTTTCCAAACAAGGGCACCCATTCAGATCACGAACGCGAAGTTCCCCCAGAACAGGATGTGAGGCTGTGCACTTGCCACCACGCCACTGAACTCTGAGACCAACCAAGGCGCTCGCTTTGCCAATTGGCACTAGTGGATCTACCATTTCAGGAGTTACCAGGGTCCCACCTGGGGTTATACACATCTCCCGAGATCCAACAGCTAAAGACACCAACACCTTTTGCTGCGGAAGCTGTTCTCCAGGACGAAGTGATCTGAGAGGATGTGATGCTCCCGAGTCCAACATGCCCATTCCCGAACACTCATTGGTGTCAGAAACCCTGGCCACATGTAGAACGCATACTCCTCGGCCTTCTCCCTGCTTCGGCAACAACGTGGCATCCGACGAACCGACTCCACAGTCCGCCCTTCCATTCCTCCATTGAGAATGGGACCAAGACGCACGCTGCCTTTCAGCATGCAAAACCATTTTTTCAGCTGTTTTGTAATCCATAACCAAACAGCCATGTTCAAACCACAAGAGCTGGTCCAGCGAAGATTTTGCACCCACGTGACACATCCCATTGATCACAGTGAGGTTCGCCCCAAACTCCAAAATCAACCAGAGAGGGATAATCAGGGGCCCATTGTCTTCCCTAATCAACGTCCCTTTCTCTGTAATCCTCATTGTCACACCACCAAGCGCGCTTTGCACCATAACAGTAGTGTCGGGTAAACATTCCCATGGAAAAAGCGTCCGCACAAGATGCGTAGCAGCTGTATCCACCAACGCCACTCTCCCTTCCTGCTGAAACAATCCAGATCCACATAACATTCGAACACTGGGATCCCCGCTCGATGCTGACTGCGCTGATGACAGCTTCATAGATTTCAGCACTTCCAACGCTTCAGCAAGGACTTGATTGGGTGTTGATGGTGATGGGGGACTTGCAGAACCTTTATCCAATCCCGCATTAGCCGTCTCATCTCCCCCTTCAGCTACCTCTGCTTTTTTGGCATTTCCCCATTTCGCACCTTTGCCGCCCTTTCCCCCTTTGGGAGAATTCCCTTTAGATCTGCTTCTCTCAGGGTTTGAGTCCACATTGGAACTTGCACCATCCTTATATGGACATTGCGGCTGCAGATGGCCAACGGCCCCACACTCAAAACATCTTCCTCGCTCAAGGGAGTCTTTGTCATGGCGAAATTTGCAGCGGGATCCGAACTTGCAACCTGCATCGGTCTTCCCATATATCCAACAGAAAGGACGTTCACCATCTCCGCTGTACCTTTTTCCTTTCCCTTTGCCTTTGTCACCCTCCTCTGTCTCGTCACCAGTTCCCTTTTGGGCCTTGTTTAACCTGGCCCTTTTCTTGGCGTCCGAGTCCTGCTTCACCTCCTGTTCACCAGCACTATGCAATAGCAGTTCAAACTCTGCCTGTAACATTTCAGCTAGTTGTGTCGCAGTTTCAGAGGTCGGCGAGTAGTCCACCCCCAATTTCTCCCGAAAGGATGCCACTCTGAAATGCACCGTAGGGTGTTTTGCCAGCAACGCGGATGATAAAGCATCCAATCCCTTGATAAGCAAGGTAGCGTCCGGCTCGGATGCTCGCAGCTCCCTTAATCGGGAACGCCATTGCGCCCATTGTCGCACTCCCTTAATAGCCTCTGAGATCGAGGTTGCTGAAGATGGTTGCACCAAGAAGTTCAACATTGTGCTGCGCTCATTTGCTCCACCTGGTTGGTAAACCGTCAGCAATTTGTAAAATATCATCACTGACCCCAACATTCGAGTGGAAACGATCTCGGTCTTCAATCTCTCCGGAATCGCCTGTAGCAGCAAAGACACCGCTCTCTGCTCCAACAAAACATGCACAGTTTGAACCACTTTGAGCCCTTCCAGCTCAGCCTTGATGCCCAACCTTTCCAGTGGAGAAACACTCAACCATTTGGCATACGCTTGATATGCCTTTGAGTAGACGCATTGCCACCACACTCTTCCTGTATCTGTCAGCGAAGACAACATTGGTTCGATCATTGCGATCCAATCACCCAGTGCCGTCGGATTGCTTGGTGTGTAGTCTGCCAAAGTTGGAAGGCTCATCACATGCTTCCCGAGAGCCTCCGGACGTTCGGTTCCAGAACTATCACCAGTGATTGGCATACCGCGTGGCACCACTGCTCCAGGAGGTAAACTGACCCTTCCACCAGGCCCTTGAGGTAGTCCATGTCCTATACCGGGCGTAACAGCTGTGAGCGGAACCTTTTCTAATTCCAACTTCCCAGCGACCATTTTCCACCGATACGGAACATCATCCACCATTGTATATCCACCCGATCCTGCTGAGTTCTCTTGCGTCGCAGTTTCCCGAGCTGAAACAAAACCGGGCTGGTTCCCCGCAGGTGCGACAGAACCATCAACACCTGATGGCACGGAAATAATCGGAACATGTGTTAAACCAGGTGGTCCACTTGCATATCCACCACTTGCAGGACCTCCCGTGGGGTAATTCAATGGAGGCAATCTGGAGGGTTTCTTCCCTTCAGCTACATGCATCATTGGCACTTCTTTTTCATCCTCCACTTGAACATCCCCCTTCCTGGACCCAGGCAAGGATTGAAGATCACAACCCTTTGGCAGGTCGTAGCCCTCAATAGGCAGCCATGTCCCATCAGGCAACACAGTCCAAAAACCACCCATACCATCCGTGTAGAAAACTTGTCCTGGCAGGTACTGCTTCTCTGGAGTCATTCCTAGAGGATATGCCGTGTTTGCGTCCACCACTCCAGAGCTCCGTGCCCTTGAAGCTGACCCAGATGCAGCAGAGGTATAGCTTTTCTCCTCCACCCGATGCAACCTGTTCCCCAGCTCCTTTGTTTGCACAAGCAACTCTTTCAGCGCACGCTTCACCACCGCCATATCTTCAGTTTGCTCTTCACCACTAACATCAGGAATGAGTTCTTCGTCGGCTTGCACTCCACCAATAGTACCTCGTTCCATTTGTCCCATTAAGCCTGACGATGGTCTCTCAACAGGTGCAGGTTCCTGACCCAAAAGGTCTTGCAGCGAAGGCGGTCTCCTCGTACCTTCACCACTCCTATCCCCTCCGCTCGCGGGAAGACTTGCCGGCCTTGATTGCCTAAGTCTCATTTCTTCTTGAGCCCGCTCGCTCCAGAAAGGATTTGCTGCTTGAACCGGAACCACTTCGTTTTCCACCTGAGGCGTTGGTTGTATCATTGCAACCTCCCTACCATCTGTCAGTGCTTGTACCATTTGTTGTCGATCTTCACCCCCATCACCACGATTTCCTTCGGCTTCATTGGCCGTTGGCGACAGTCCAGGCTCAGAGCGACGCCGCATCATGTCCATGGCGTTAAACAAACGAAAAATCTTTACCAACTCCGCAGGAAGCCTAATTTGGGCTCATAACCTACGGGGGGCAACCGAAGGAGGACAGGGAACAAGACAGTCAACCCCAACAGAAGCCCTTATTACCCCTGGAACAACCAACAACCGAACAGCAAGACCCCAAACCAAGGGTACACTTTTTTCGAAACCTTCGACCGCTTTGGTCATGGCTTGAGCCAAAGATTACCGGGTTCATTGACCCTTCAACTTCCAATACCAACTCCTTTCTACAATACCAATTGCAGCTCCGCACCCTAAACCCCAACACTTGGGGTTCACGTGTGGAGGGCTTCGACTCCACCTTAGGCGTGCCTGCTGGGCCTCTGGAATCAAATCGTTGGATGCGAGCTTAGTCATACCTGCTAAATGAAACATCATGTATACTTCACCACACACACACGTGTCACATATATGTCGTAAATGTATCTGCATATGTTCATCTATATATGTATGTGTATATATATATACCCATATGTATGCATATACCCGTAGATGAGTGCACAAATGTGTATATATATATATATGTGTGTGTGTGTTTGCATGTATGTATGTATGTATGTATGTATGTATGTATGTATGTAATGCATACTCACAGCCTGCATGCATGGATGCATATACATATGCCCACACGTACACGTACACGTGAACATGTACATATACATATATATATATATGTGCATGTGCAAAAACGTATGTATGTGTCTTGTATGTAAGCATGTCTGTTTGCAATGCGTGTGCGTCACGTGTTGGACCCCTATGCCTACGGTGGGTGGAGATAAAGAGTCACAAGCACATATGCACAAAAATGCAGTCTTGGTGGTTGATCTGTATATAGGAACTGCAACCAACAGAACACACATGGAGAGTACGGTCTTAATTAAACTGCATTTACCTTGGCTGCACTCAGGACGGTAGCTATAAATTACACTTTTAGCTGCCTTATTAAGAAACCCAATGAACCCAAAAAGGGTAAGGATCTAAAGTTACGGTAAAGTACCACAAGGTTACAGTCTTACAACTTTGGGTTCATTCCGCCTTTGTTGAAACCTTCCCTAAACCGTAACCCTAAACCCGAAACCCTAAAGCCCTAACATCCCTAAACCCTAAACCCGAAACCCTGAGCCCTGCCACCACGCGTAGAAGGGCCGAGCAAAGGAGCCTGCCTCCACTGCTTTGAGCAGGGGCCCATTTCCAGGCAGGAGCCAACTGGCGGAGGCTCTTGACAAGGTAAGGGCTTAGGGTTTAGGGTCTAGGGTTTAGGGTTTAGGGCTTAAGGTTTAGGGCTTAAGGTTTAGGGCTTAGGGTTTAGGGCTTAGGGGTTTAGGGGTTCAGGGTTCAGGGTTGAAGGGTTTAGGGGTTTAGGGGTTTAGGGGTTTAGGGTCTAGGGGTTTAGGTTGGGATGTTCCCCCTTATACTAACAGTCCTTAATAGGTATTAGAGTACCCCCTGTGAGATTACCTACTATGGAGTGTAAGTATAAGGGGGAACATCCCAAGGTTTGGATTTAAGGTTTTACGGTTTAGGCACAAACCCAGAACCTCTTGATACGGGCAACAGGATTTTGTCGCTGGGCTGCGATAGCCAAGGATTCAGGCACCCTCCCTATAGACCTAGCAAGCCTGCAAATGTGAACCTGGTGACTTTGGTTTTGGGATTGATCCTGTGACGTCAACGGCGAAATGGCCTGAAAAACCCTAAACCCTAAACCCTAAACCCTGAAAAGTTCGGGTGAAACTGGTGGCTTGGTTCGGTTGATTGGCGGGGTTTTGAGGGCCTGGAAGTGAGGGGGCCTTCCTGAATGTGCCCGCTCAGACCCACAGCCCTCCACTCGCGACTCTGCGTTGCTCATGGCATCCAGCCCGATAGCCCAAAGATGCTTTCTGCTCTCGATGCCAGTCACTTCGGCCACATGCCACCTTCTTCCGGGCACATGGAACACGGAGCCTTCCGAAACTCGGACAAAGGCAAGGGCGAATGCTGCCATGTGGGTTGGTAGCGGATTGCGGCCCGTTCACCTTGCCTCTCCGATCTCGGCTGTTCGACTCACAAGTGTGGCTTCCTACGATGTTTGGGAGACTGTGGGATGGGGCCACTTCCCTAAACCCTAAACCCTAAACCCTAAACCGTAAACCCTAAACCCTAAACCCTAAACCCTGAGTTATTTCTTTACGTCCATCCCCATGTTGAGTATCGGTCAAATGAGGCCGAACCCCACTCTCCTCTGGATTGAAATCTTCGTAAACGCACGGCGGTCCATGCCACGTTCCCCGGGTTGGCCTTTCAGGGCTTGTCGAGGTTCTCATTGGGTCTTCAACTTAGCTGCTGAGTTCATAAGCCCCCCAAAAAGTGTACACTTTCAGTTCTGTAGGGGGATATGGTATCCCGAGAAGTGTAAACTCAGCTACTAAGTTAAGTCAAAAACTGTGTCAAAGGCCAACCCAGTTCCGAAATATGTGCAATGTTCCCCATCAAGAGCGCCTCATCGCGTGCAAGAGAGCTGTCGTGACCATTTCTGCTTCGAATCACGCGCTGCCAACATAGCCCTCGTTACAAAACAAAGACTCTCAAGGCACAAGATTTCTGTAAGTAGGAAGTCTCTACATACAGAAGCCTTGCCCGGTGCCCACAAACAGGATGGGTCTAGGGCCAAGCTTTGCATGGCCACACTGCTACGCATGCGGTGGAATCCTAGGTCGGGAAGGCAGCAAGGGATGAGGCGCACATGCAGCATGCCTGCACGTGCTGCCTGACAGGGAACTTCCATGCAAAGCACGCATATTAGCTGGCAGAGATTCCCGCACTCACGCGCATGGCTCAGGATTGCACTGTGCAATGAGCTCTTCTCAGCAGATCTTAGGAGTTTATCACGACTCAGAGAAAGCTGTTTCGACAAGGAACAGCACCGTCCGTCATGTGCTAGATGACTTCCAGCACGGCGACTGGCACTTCTCATGCTATCACATCGGATGCTGGCTGTCCCATCTGCCAGTCATTCAACCATTTTAAAAAACGCGATTACCTGACCGTTCTCTTTGTTGCGGTAAGGGCCGTGAATACGGTTGTGGCTACCATGACGGACATTGCTTGCTGCTCCTTGCGTGTTCTTCCTCTGTTCTCCTGAGAAGCCGACACTCGAAGGCCCCCCCCCTCAGTCTTGATCATCCCCGGGCAGCTCATGGTCTGCACCTGGGACGGCCAGGACGGCCACAAGCTCCCCTAAACCCTAAACCCTGAACCCTACACCCTACACCCTGCACCCTACACCCTACACCCTAAACCCTAAACCCTAAACCCTAAACCCAACCAGGTTTCAGACTTGCCCTTAGCACTTGCAATAGAAGTCACTCGCAAGTCTTAAGGTCTAAGGCCCCGAGGCCCAAAACGGCACACAGCATACATGTAGATTCTTATATTGTTGCTAGTAGCAGAATACTTAATTCCTATAAATTTCTCAAATTCAGTATATTGTCATAAAACAGAGACTGTCAATTGTCAGATCGTAGCGGCGTGTCTGCTTGGAAGACGCGTCAGGCTAAGCTACAGCGTTCGGGCTCTGACTTGGGCGTTGCCCAAAAGTGGGTACCGCTCACAAATACCTCCACAGCCACCACGAGTACATGGCCCATGTTGTAGGAACCACCGAGGAGGGGCACCGTTATACCCCTAAACCCTAAACCCCAAACCCCAACCCTAAACCCCAAACCCACGGCGCGACGACGAGCAAGAGCGGTTGCGAAGGCCCACGGCAAGAGCGAGGCCGGCGGCAGCCACCGGGCAAACCGGCAGCAGGGGAAGAGCTACCATCATCGACCAATTGTTTGCACCTTTGGGTTTAGGGTGTTTGTTGGGTTTAGGGTTTAGGGTTTAGGGTTTAGGGGTTTAGGGGTTTAGGGGTTTAGGGGTTTAGGGGTTTAGGGGTTTAGGGGTTTAGGGGTTTAGGTTTAGGGCACATTTGAAGTCTGGAGGTCATTTTGAGGGCGTGCGGATTATATGAAGCCAAGGGTGCAAACTGCACAGGGGCGCAGGTCGGGTCCCTTCGAGTCCCTTCTCCCACCTTTGGAGTAGACCCTGGAAAAAAGTATATACTTTTTAGGTACAAGTATCTATAGTAGGAACCCAGAACCAAAAAGAGTGTATTAAAGTATAGTACTCCAAAACCCAGTTCTCTCTTCTGAACCTGCGCGACTCCCACCTTTCGCAGACGGCGTTCCGCCGGCGTCCTCGGAGCGGATCTTGCGCAGAGCGGCCTGCGTGATGCAGGAGCGACACATGTGCTCTATAGGATTCCAGGATATCGTAAGGATAAGGAAAAAAACTGGGATGCCTGCGGGCACTAGCTGAACAGAAGTCGCAATCCCGTGTGATGTGACATCTGATTGGGGAATGTGGGCTCGGTGAAACTACTTCATACAGAGGCCTGAATGATAAGACAAGGTGTGTGTGTGTGTGTTTTTTTTTGTTTTGGGGGGGGGGGGGTTATTATAGCATAATTTACAAAGGGACCACAAGGGAAGATTATTAGTATTTATTCCGCCCCAAAATAAGACAACAACATCAGCTGCAGTTCGTGTTTGCAGTGTCCCGACACCGAAGTACCGAAGCCCGACGGCAGACCCCCCCCAAAAAACAGAAGCCTGCATACAGCTGTCAAGTATAGGGTTTAGGGTTTAGGGTTTAGGGTTTAGGGTTTAGGGTTTAGTGTGGACATCACCTATAGCACAAGGTTGGCCATGCCTGCGAAGAACTATGAACTTTGCAGGGGTATGTGGTTTAGGGTTTTTAAAGTTTGGGGGTTAAGGGATCGCCCCCCTTTCAACCAAATCATAAACCCAATTCCTGCCTAGGGATGGGATGCACGGTTGAGGGTTCTAGGGCTTCGACTCTCACACTCGCAAACTTGTCCGGTTCATAATCGAACATGTGTATATATGAATATGTACATATATATATATTATAGATTTTGCAGATATGATATGTGTACATATGTGGATATATTAAGGTTTTGCGGCTTTAGGGTTTGGAGTTCGGGTTTGCCGCTTGCAGGCTTTGGAACCTAAGCTTGGCTACACTCAGAAGGGTAGCTAAAAACTAAATTGTTGGCTGCCATATTCAGAAACCCAAAAAAGCCAAAAAGGCTAAGGATCCTAAACCCTAAACCCTAAACCCTAAACCCTAAACCCTAAACCCGAAACCCGAAACCCTAAACCCTAAACCCTAAACCCTAAACCCTAAACCCTAAACCCTAAACAAAGTAAGCCCCGCCATCCTATTGCCGAGACGCCCCGAAGTCCCGCTCCAGCGTGCCGTAACCTGAGGGGGGAAGCGGCTCTCCCTCTCCCCCCGCTGCACAAAACACAGGGGGTTTAGGGTTTAGGGTTAAGGGTTTAGGGATTAGGGTTTGGGGTTTGGGGTTTAGGGTTTAGGGTTCGGGAAAGACATGTCCTTGGCCATGGGACATGCGTGCTTCTCAGGTGCAGGGCTACTCGAGGTTTCGACTTGGGTGGACCTTTAAAAAACCTAAGCCGGCAACTCTATATGAGAACCGACGTTCTGACAACCGTCCCGGGCACAAGGTTGAGGGTTGAGGGTTTAAGGTTTAGGGTTTAAGGTTAGAGTTTAGGGCTTGTGAAGGCCTTCAGCAGCATGCGGGCGCAGCACTTGTCAAGTGATGCATGATGCTTGTCCAGGCTGTCCCTCTAACCCTAAAAGCTAAAGTAGGCTCAAGAGTAACCTGGGAAAGATAAGGCCGCTCTTTTTAAAAAAAGGGGGCTTCGAGGGGAAACGAAACCCCAAAATAAGGGAATCAGCGTCAGGGCTGGACCCTAAACCCTAAACCCTAAACCCATAAACCTCGCTACTTACACCCTCTCTCAACCGTCAACCCAGCCCCAAAACCCCTGTAAACCTTAAAGCAACCACAAGACTCGCCACCTTTCCGAGCTACGCTACGACTCCAAGTAGCCCTATGTACCCAAAGGCTCCTATGTAGTACCTTTTTGGGGTGGTATACTAGAATCCCCTATGACTAACCCAAAAATGGCGCCACATTGGAGCCTCTGCTTCGGGCCATCATGCAAACTTAAAGGGTGCTTTAAGGCCCAAGTGCATACTACATAGGTACCCAAAGCCCTAAACCCCCTGAACCCGGAACCCTTTTCGGACTGTTAGGACAGGTAAGCCCCCTAAACAGTTAACCCTGACCCCCT